GCCCCGCGCGCTCGCCTTCTGGGAGTCGCCGCTGAGCCACGGGCTGAGCGTGCTGGTGGGCGCCGCCCTGTGCATCACCATGCTGGGCCTGGGCTGCACGGTGGACGCGAGCCGCTTCGGGGCGCACGTCCGCCGCCCGCTGGGCGCGCTGCTGGCCGCGCTCTGCCAGTTCGGCTTGCTGCCGCTGCTGGCCTTCCTGCTGGCGCTCGCGCTCAGGCTGGACGAGGTGGCCTCGCTGGCCGTGCTCCTGTGCGGCTGCTGCCCCGGCGGGAACCTCTCCAACCTCATGGCCCTGCTGGTGGACGGCGACATGAACCTCAGGTAGGCGCCCGGCGCAGCAGGGCGGCCGCGCAGGCCGGGGCTGAGGCGCGGAGAGGTGAGCGCCGGCCTCGGCAGTCGGGAAGCAGGGCGCGGCGGGGGGCCGCCTGCAACGGGAGGGCTGCGACGCACCCACGGCGGGGCTCTCGCCGCGTCGGCCCTCGCGCGGGGCGGGCTGGCTGTGGGCGCTGGCCTGGGGCCGCAGACCGACAAAAAGAGGGGCAGAATTCTGAAGCTAGGACTCGCCGGAAACGGAAAAGCAAATTAGGGCTGTTGGCCCGATGCAGAAAGTAATCTCATAGAGAGTGCCACATAATTGAGTTTAATCCAACAAGTAGCATCCAGTAGCTCTTCCACGTCCAACACTGCAAGGCTCTTGAGAAGATTACCAGGAAGAGACATGCTGCCTGTCTTCCGAATCGTCCAGACTCTCTCGGCTTTAGACAGCTCAGGGCAGCAGCCCTGAGTTTTTGTTGCTTTTGCCTCTGGCTCATTTCCCGTTGGACATGGGCTCTGCTTTCTTGGCACTCCTTGTGATGAAGTAGACTGAATCCAGGCTGCAAGCCGGAGGACTCTCAGGCTCCCTGGTACCCAACCTGGAGGAGAAGGTCTGCCGGCTCTTGGGCTCCAAGCCTGTCCTGACTCTGCTCGTTCTTTTCTGCAGCATCATCATGACCATCTCCTCCACACTTCTGGCCCTGGTCTTGATGCCCCTGTGCCTGTGGATCTACAGCCGGGCCTGGATCAACACCCCTCTGGTGCAGTTACTTCCCCTGGGGGCAGTGACCCTGACCCTCTGCAGCACCCTCATCCCCATCGGGCTGGGCGTCTTCATCCGCTACAAATACAACCGTGTGGCCGACTACATCGTGAAGGTAAAGACCCCTTCCCTCCGTGTCACCTAGAGGTCCTTGGTTGCTGCCTTGGCCTGAAATGCTTGAAGGTAAAGGAAGAAAAGGACTTAGCAGTACTTCCATGGGCGAATTTTAAGCTTATGCCACAAAGATAATTTCTACCTTTTGAAATTCCTAGAAGGATAACTCTAATTGTGATGTAGCTTAATTAAAAACAGCATTAGCCATCTGTCAGTGTTCTGGGGAGGAAACAGGTCAGGAGTAAGGGAGATGACAGTGTCATCCAACAGTAACGTTTTCCACTGTGTATTACCAGAAATCAAAATAGATTAAAAAATTATTCTAATAGAATTTCTGCAGTATTTTAGAAACGCATTACTATATTTTCAAAAGTGGAATTTTAATTCTGAGAAATACTGCAGTACGCTCCTTTAAAAATGTTTTCTTTGTTTTGTTTGCAGGCTGGGGATTGCTAGGCAAGCGCACTACTAGTGAGCTACACCCCAAGCCTGTTCCATTCATTAGAATGAAAAGTTGACACTAGTAAGATTAAAAGTAAATGAAAAGCTATAGCGTGGCAATAGAAGCCACAAAATATTGGCTTGGAAGCATAAAATAAAATTGGGTCCTGGATGATGTAGATTATGTTGTCATTACTAGATTTTTCTGTTTCTTTTTTCCTTTATTTCATATCTTATATGATTTCTAAAAATAGTGAAATGATAAGGGATTTCTATTATTTCAAACAATATTTCAATATTGTTTTATTTTTTAAAAAAACGTTTTTTGTAGCAGTAGAGATTTTGTAATAGTTGAGTGGAGAAAAAAATCAAGTATCTGTAAGTTAAACTTTTTTGAAACCTCATAAATGGTGCAAGAGTAAACCATGAACAGGGTGCCACTTTAGGAAGTTGGTCCAATAACATACACAATTACTGTAAAATGCAGAGGCAAGTTCCTTTAGATAAATGACACAGAGAGCCATTCCAGTGTTTCAGTTATGTAGATTTAAGACATAATCTTTTCTGTTTTACTTATATTAATTTATTTTTTAATCTGATTAAATGGAGGAGCCAAGTTTATGAATATGAAAAATAGGTTCTTTTCTATACATAAATCTACCCTTGAATAAAAAATTCTGTCCCACAATGTGTGTGAATGTAATAAGTATATGTGACTATGTAAATATGTATTTAAATATACCCACAGATAATGTTGAATCATGAGTGCAATGACATTTACTTTAAGAATTCTAAAAAACAGTCAATTGAAGAGGTATTTACACAGAAGAAACACAAAAAATGAGAAATACATTTAAATAGTAGTCCAACAAGATTGGCTCCCTTGCATTTAAGGTGACCCTATCTCTATTCTTTAATTAGCACACTATTAAGATATGGTTTATACAATAGTTAGTTACACTTTTACAAGCACTTTAAAATGAACATTCAACCTCAGTTCTCAAATTATTTAAAACAGCTTGGAACTTTGGAGTCATTATCTTCAAAATGAAGAACCAGATGTCTTGTCAATGCTTTCAACGTGATGTACTTTGCAACTTCATATAAGTACAAGTTTTGACTAGTAATTGTTCATGTGTAATAAGTGAACCTTACATAGTAACTATATCAGTATAAAATTCTAATTTTTTAAGTGCATAAAGTACATGGCCATTTCACAGACTCCAAAAATGTTCCCTCCCAAGTATCTAGAGAAGCAGAAGCAGGTTTTCTCTCTGGATCTCCATTTTCACCCACTCCACCCATAATAAAACATGACTTAACTGCCCTTCTGAAGGGAAATAGGAGAGAGGAATTTTTAGGTTTCACCTTATGATTCATTGAGCCTGTTTTATTTGAATCAATGAAATGTTACCAGTCAGAATGTCAAGACGACACATTTTATATGGTCAGTAGCCACACATCTAAGCCCACTTACTCTAGTGATTTCTCAGCACCACGGAGACTTACACATAAGAGGTTTCTTCTCAACAAATGAAAAAGAGAGGAGTTGCAAAATTATAAACAATTCCTCAACTCTTACATTTACTTTTTTCTCTTTCAAAATATAAATTATTTCAGCCTGGTAACAATCATTTGAGATATATTTTAAGCTTAAAAATGTCACACAGTAGGTTAATTTTTATTATACATTTTAATAGCTTTTCATTTCATATGTACAATGGGAATTAATTTCACACTGACACATGATATCTCTTCAGCATAAATGTCCACTATCTACTCCGTTAATACACCACACCTAGGGTATTTTTACCCGGGCTTAATTTTATCTGCTGTTTTAAGAGATCCAATCACAAACTGAATGTAAAATCAGAACAGTCAGGACACTGAAACAAATCATGTGATAAGGGTGAGAGGCTGGGGCAGTGTACCTGGAGAAGAGTAACCCGCCCCAGTAACTGCTTTATAAACTTTCAAAGTGCAGTTCTTCAAAAGTGGACTGGTCTTACGCTGCTCTTGGAGGCCTGAACAAGGAAACGGTCAGAAGATACAGAAGCAAATTGTCACTTGACCTGAGCACAGGCCTCCAAACAGAAACACTGTCTGACACGGTTATGGATGCCTCCTGAGGAGCTACCCAGCCCTCTCTGGAAGTAGATGGAAGATCTCATTTTGTAGGGGGGGGTCAGACTAGATGGGTACCTTCTTTTAAGAGGCTAGGGTCAGCTTTGACAGTCTCATTGCTGATGGCTTGTCTATCCATTCTCTACTACTAGGTTTCCCTGTGGTCTCTGCTAGTGACACTGGTGGTCCTTTTCATACTGACCGGCACAATGTTAGGACCTGAACTGCTGGCAAGTATCCCTGCAGCTGTTTACATGGTTGCCATTTTTATGCCTTTGGCAGGCTATGCCTCAGGCTATGGCCTGGCTACTCTTTTCCACCTCCCTCCCAACTGCAAGCGGACTGTGTGCCTGGAGACGGGCAGTCAGAACGTGCAGCTCTGCACTGCCATCCTAAAACTGGCTTTCCCACCACGCCTCATAGGAAGCATGTACATGTTTCCCTTGCTCTATGCCCTTTTCCAGTCTGCAGAAGCAGGGATTTTTGTTTTAGTATATAAAATGTATGGAAGTGAAATACTGCACAAGCAAGATCCTCTAGATGAAGATGAAGATACGGATATTTCTTATAAGAAACTAAAAGAAGAGGAAATGGCAGACGTCTCCTATGGCACAGTGAAAGCTGATAATTTAATAATGATGGAAACCGCCCAGACTTCTCTCTAAACATGGAGATACATAGGAGCTTCTATCTTGCTAAAATAGTAATCCATGTTTATGGCCTGTGGTAGTGCACGTGGTTTACGTAGAGGATAATTGGTTTGCACAGTATGTGTAACGCTTTTGATCTTTCCATTGTAAAGTTGCACTGCGGTAGTAACCTAGTGTTTCCATAGATTACAAATCAGTGTCTTACTATGACTTCCACGTGGTTCAGCTACAGTGAAGCTCCATCTAGTTCAATATGCTTTTTGGTTTTTGCCATTACCAATTGCTATGACTGCTTCACAGATAGAAACTACTGTATTAGAAAACAGGGTCTGGAAATGTAGAGTTTTGGTGCACTGTCTCGTCTGAGTAAATATAAGCTAACTATAAAGCATGATTGAGTTTACTATAAAACAGAAAAGCGTGCGTGCTCAACTTGTACACACTGAACTGTAACATCTAACATACAGGGGAAGGGGGAAACCAGCAGAGACCACCAGGCTTGTGTAAAAGCAACATGGCCTGGAATTTATTGTGCCTGGGCGCAGGCAGAGAGCGGGATAAGACCATGTGCCCTTGTTGGGGAAGGAGGGAACAAAGACAAGTGTGTCTTTTATAGGGACGGAGAGGAGGCACAGGACATCAGGTGGGAAGATCTCAATAAACATCCGTGGTCAAACGTTTCTGGCAGTCTTGCGTCTCCGAGCAGAGTCCTTGAAGTGTCCAGTGTAAATTTTGGGGTGTCTCCAGACGTCCCCAGAATCTGCAGAATGCCTTGTCCTATCTTATCTCTTTTCCTGTGCTTGCCCTGACAACTTCAGTACGGAGCTGAGTTCCCTGCTGGGAGACAGTCGTGCTTCTGCTGGCAAGCAGGCTGGGCGCTGGGAGAGTCACATTAACAGTGTTCAATTCTGACCTGTACTCAGAAAACTCCCCAGGTCAATGGCACGGTAAAATACTTGGTCAAAAAAGTATTTCATTGTCAAATCAGAAAAAATTAATGTCTTTGATTACTTGATCTGATATCTGCTTATTGTAAACGAGCCATAAACATTTTTCCAGTGGATAAGATGATTTCTTCACAAAATTGGTCTTCCGCATTTATTTTCAACACATTTCTAAACAAATCAGTTCCTCTTTGGAGGAACAGGTTTGGAAATTGTGTGGAACTAACATCTACCGAAGCGGAGCTGGCTTGATGGGGATGAGGCTCCGGGGAGAAAACAATCAGCCGAGAAGTGGAGGCCCTGGGTTTCCCGCTTGCTTGCGGAGCGGCTTCGGCGGGCAGACCTCTCTGCGCACCTCTGAGGAAGCGGAGCTGTAATCGGAGATAATGGGTAACACACCCAACGCAGCTGGCGAACCCGCGCGTGCCGCCCGCCCCCCGAGGCGCCCGCCCCCGCGC